TTATATTTTTGCTGTTTGCACAGTAATACTTACAAATATAATAAAAAGTGATGTAGGGGTGGTGAAGCAAAATGGTGTTCAATGTATATGCAAATAATGTTATCTGAGGCGCAAACCCAACATTCCACCTACAACTTTAGACTTCTCTGTTTTGTTCTTTTTTTTAACATTTTAGTCCACAAAAGGTGTATAATAATAAGTTTATAGACAAAAATTACGTCCTCGTGCTTCAGTGAAAACTTATGGTACTGTGGCTCGTTCTAGAATAACATAAAACTACAAACAGAAGTGCTTTGATGTCCTAACAATCAAGAGAACAATGATTTAAATAGTTTGTACCTTAATTAATGGCTGTCACAAATTGTAGAGTTTAGGCATATCAATTGTTGTGAATACGTGAGCTTATCTACCTTATACCATGACTGTCTGGAATGGGGCAATAAATGTTGTAAAATCTCTGTGGTTATAGGTTGTAACTTGGTCAAAGCATGGTGCTTGAAATAAAAGTACAAATGTACTAACACTGAATACGCAACTAATTTACTGCATATTCTTTTTTCCTTTCCCTTACTATAATATTTTTTTTTTTTTTACATATATCTTGTTATTATTTTAAAACTCTTTTTTGCTGTACTTATCCTATCTAAATGTTTTTACACGGAGGCAATAAAGTTATTATTATTATAACTACAATCTGATTTTCTGCATAAACTAGAAAGTAATTCATAGGTTACCATGATTAAATTAGTAACTTTAAGGAGGGTGGGTGCAAATGATGTTCAGTAATTATACTAAAATTTTCTAACAACTCGATGGATATTTACCCAGCTCTTCAAGAATAGCAGTTTTTGTTGCATTTTTACTGACACCTAAAAAAAAGAAATCTACAGAATGCAAACTGTACACTTTCTATAATGTTACTATGTTTTGCTGATTCTTCTCTCCATACTTCACACCCATAATTAATAATTGGTACAATTAATTAATCAAATAAATTCAATGCTGTGCTAATTTTATAATGTGATAATGTTAATAAAGACTGCTTTAGTGGAAACTTTGCTTTCATAGCTTTCTCTTTTAAAGTATTGAACGCAGTTTTGAATTTTCCATTTGGTGTGATAACTATACCCAGGTAATTAAAACTGTCTACTGTGGCAATTTCATTTCGCTCATAAAACACTGACTTCTTATTCATTGTATGATTTCTTTTATTGAATACATTAATTTAGTTTTATTCAGGTTTCCTGTGGTAGATATGTCATGTTGCCTCTCACGTTCGCACATAGCACGGCATTCAAGGTCTTATCTAGACTGGCAGAATCGGAACTTCTTTTTTGTTTGAAAAAAATAAACAATTGTCAGTTTAGCCTTTTTAGCTTTTTAGCAAAAACTAGTGTGATCGCGAAAAAAATACATTTCGCGATCATGTCAGTTTTCGCAATCACACTAAAAAGACTTTAAAACAATTAATTATTTCTTTTTGTAAAACAAAAAAGAAATCCCAACTTTGCCAGTCTAGGTCTTATTCCGGTATAAACTATATGTATAGAGCAGCATAATAAACGATACAATATCATTAATAATAATAATAATAATAAACAATAAACCTTTCCATATATATTTCCGACAAAAATCCCGAAAAATCGCTAAATTTGTTTTGAAAAATTTCTACATGTAAAAAAAGTTTTATTTCGAGACCATCCGGAATTTGCGGTAGCGCTCGTCACCTTGAACTCAAATGACCTCGCCAAAGTTGATGAACCACTTGGAGGGGGAAATAAAAAAAAAATACACCGTGACCCAATTGCACAAAGAAGACACGTTATTCAATAGTAATATGAGATGTATATGCGATTATCTGGATATTTAACTGCTTTACAAACGGAACCATGTAATCGTAAATGTTTTACGTAGAATGCGGTCACCAAATGGCGCTTATTCACGAGAAATTTGCAACGTGACTTTCGCTATACCTCCCCGCCGGAACACTCAATACAGGAACCATTTAGTACATTGGATTTCGGAACATAGGGATTTCGGAACATAGGGCTTTCGGAACATAAGGATTTCGGAACATAGGCCGGTCACCCACATTCACAATGAATGTCTTGTGGCTCTAAATGTCTTTTTAATACAATATATTTATGCCTAGTCAACGCATGACAGCAAGTCGGCGGTCAGGTCCATATGATATTGGCCGCACATATTATATGCAGGGCTAATGGTACCGGGGCTAGAACAACTTGAAAAAGAGGGCACTACTGCAACTCAGACTAGGAGGATGCGGTGAAATGAGTCACCAGGCCGGTAATAATGGCGATAGGCATTCCCATGTTTTTAATTAAAAATCACAGTACGGAGCAATTTCGGACCACAGCATCAAGGACAGGGATGTCGGGTGTTTAAAATTACAAAAGTGAAGCCTGACCTTGATCTCGCCATGTAAAGAAGTTATCATTTTCTTCGTGATTCTGGAGCGATCCGTACATATCATAGTTATGGTAGTCGCCGTTATTGAGAGCGATTCGCGCCCTGTCCAATCGACCGCGGTTGTAACCCTTTTCGTCGAGCCAATAATAAGTCAGCCAGTTATCTACCAGTACCATCAAGACAACGACCCCAAGCACGACAAATATACATTTTATATGCAGCTTAGTCCGCATGTCGCCTGCCGATAAATCTCACAGGTGTGGAGAAGCCGCCATATTGCTTTCTTTGACGAGCTCATGAATATTTAACGTGTAAGTCATGTAAGGCTAAGGAATGAGCCATTTGAGATCTTCCGGGGGTGGGCTGCACCGTTGGAGAACAGTCGATATTACTAGCTCATACATAATATATTTGTAAATTAAGAATTAGTGACCATTATGATTGAGAAAGGGAGGTATATACTTTTATAATATTATTAAAGCAATCTATAGAAACTCTGTTGGATGTGTGAAGGTTAAAAACGGCTTGACCAATACTTTCCCAATTGAGAAAGGCATCAGGCAGGGCGATGGTCTAAGTCCGCTGCTTTTTAATATATACTTGAATGATATTAAAAGTCATATAAATGCATCACACAATGACCCACCAACTTTATTAAATAACCAACTTCCATGTCTACTCTATGCAGATGACTTGCTTCTCCTTTCAGAAACCAATACAGGTCTTCACCCTGCAATTATACTGCCACAAATGGAAGTTGGAGATCAACATTAAAAAATCTAAAACAATCATATTTAACAAATCAGGTAGACGCCTAGACAAATATAAATTTTATATAAACCAGGATGTACTGGAAAGAGTGACATCATACACTTACCTTGGCATAAATTTAAATACAACAGGGAAATTAGAAAAAGCCCAGGTAGACCTAAAAAACAAAGCTCTTAAGGCCTGCTTCAAAATGAATCAGCTATTATTTTCGGCAACTTGTACACCACTCAGAATTCATTTGAAGATGTTTGATGTAGTAGTTAGACCAATTCTCTTATACTGCACTGAAATATGGTCTAGTGATATTATTGCCCACACAAAACAGCTTTGGAATTTGACAACACCCATGGAAAAACTCCATATCAAATTCTGCAAGTTTTTATTAAAGGTGAACAGCAGAGCCTCAAACTTGCCATGTTTAATTGAATTAGGGAGGTACCCTCTTACAATACAGGGTACAAAACAACTGTTAAAATATTGGATGAGGGTTCAGGAAATGCCTGAAAATACACTAGTATGTGAAGCATACAAGCTTGGTATTAAAAAAATTAAGATGCATGATTCTGGTACTAAAACTGGGTATC